GGAAGGATGTTAAGGCAATGGAAAGGCTGCAGAGGAGATTTACAAGAATGGTACCAGGAATGAGGGACCTTGATTATGAGGACAGGCGAGAGAGGCTGGGATTATTCTCATTGGAGCAGAGAAGGTTACGAGGAGACCTAAAAGAGGTCTTCAAAATCATGAGAGGATTTGACAGGTTAGAAAGGGAAAAACTGTTTCCACTGGTGGATGTGTCAGTGACTTGAGGTCACAGATTCAATATAGTCTCTAAAAGAAGCAGAGGGGAGATTAGAAGATATTTTTTCACACAGTGAGTTGTTCGAATCTGGAACACATTGACTGAAAAGGTGGTCGAGGCCGATTCAATAAATACTTTTAAAAACCCGTGGACGGGCATTTGAGGAGGATGGGTTTGCAAGGGTTATGGGGAAAGGGCTGGGGAGTGGGACTGACATTAATTGCTTTATTCAAAGAGCCGGCACAAACTCAATGGGCCGAATGGCCTCTTTTTGTGCTGTATGATTCTATGAGTGAAAACAGTCATGTATATGAATCTTCTGCCCTTTCCCATACGGGAAATATTTATGTTCCTATTTATGTATTAACTGGAGTTTAAAGCCAATGTGAAGTCATTTGTAGGTGAAGTTTGAGGGAAATCCAACGAAAGATGAAGGTCGGATTAAGACCCAACTTTTACACTGTCTAGCTTCTTGATTGGCTGCAATTGGAAGATAACAATTCTGGCACGTGAGAGCAAGAAGCTTTATTGCTGCCAAATAAATCCAGCCAGAATGGCAAAAGTTTGGCTGGTCACCATTTGCAGATGCACATGTGCATGTCCTGGTCACTGAATACAGAGTAAGCTCCCCCCCACCCCGAGAGTCTGGTTATTGATGAGGGCTACCAATTTCCAGATGTTTGTGGCCAAGTATCCATTACATTGCAAAGTGCTTACTTTTCACCCTGATTTATCCATAGCTCATGCCAGGAGTTCAATAATAGAGATTTGAGCATTTAGTTCTGTAAAAAATAGATTAATAAAGAGATTGTGTTCGCGGCATAACACTTAATAAACTTCAGACCTGAAACACTTGATGGATACGTTTTGCTGAAAGCAGTAAAACTTAAATTGGAGAAATAATATCATGCCACATCCTATTATCTCATTGAGTTAAAATCTCATTTGACACTGAATGTAGAACCTCTCTTCAGTGTTGCCAAAGCCTCACTTCTAGCATCTATTAGTTTTAGGATTATTTTGTCAAAGGATACTGTGCAGTATCTGTGACTTAATATTGATATCAATGATATTATAATCCAAGGTGTTTTAACATGGCTATGACTTCTGTAGGTAACTATGAAAATCAAATGTTGTGCAGGCTTGAAAGTGATGTAGATTAGAGGTCCTTGACTTGCATTTTTTAATAGATGAAGATAGTATCATAACAAGCCTGATAGACCAGTGGAAATTCCACTTTGTCGTGTTTGTTACAGTAGAATAATAATAATCCTTACATTTGCGGTAGCTCCTTTCACATGGGGGATGTCTCAAAGTGCTTCATAGGATTTTCCTGTAATTGACAAGTGCTGTGCAAAACGGAATCCAACAGAATAACATGAGTACTTCACACCAAGTGGCAAATACAGTGCAATCCTAATGTAATGTGCTTCTTCATTGTGCAGATTCAGTTCTAACGTGTTTGCATCATGGATTGTATTTACTGCACGTGTACGCAGCCAGCTGACTAAATTAGATGATTTAATAAACTTTGCATTGGACTTGTAGGTTATGGAGATCATGCAAGAAGTGACACCCATGTAACTCAGAAGTAGGTCAGTTTTTTTTAAAGAGCTGGCACTAACCCTTGTACAGGGAAAGAGTTGGTTGGCTGTGTGTGCAGTGAAAACGACTATAGTGTTGTTTTATAGTGGATTTTATGGAGCCCATCTGCTGTGTTACAATAAGTCTTCTCTATGTGGAATAAGATACCCAGGGAGGAGATAGTTTGTGTCACTAAATTCAAGGGCTTTTGACAGTTATTTAGCAAATAAATCAATTTAGGATTTTGAGAGACAGAGTAACATAGGATTTTTTTACGTTGGAACAAGATGGATCTCAATGATCGTTTCTGGTTCTGTACGTCCCCATTCACTGCCTATATAGATTGACACATCATTTCTCTGTCATGTGCTACAAAATGTTCACCAGATTCAGCACATTTCACTCCAGCCACCCAGGTCAACATCCAGCGCTTCACAGAACACACTGTAAAGTGAATTGACCGTATATTTGTGGGCGAAACGCGGCAGCCAGTTGCATACAGCAGTGTCCCACAAACAGTGTGGATTGAAAATGACCAATTTTTTATAACTTGCAAAAAATGTAAGCAGAACTAGTGTTTCGAAGATAGAAGCATAGAAATCTACAGTATAGAAGGAAGCCATTCGACCCATTGAGTCTACAGTAGACTGTTTTTTCCCAAAAGTAATGGTTATTCGGAATAGGCTCCCAACAAAAGCTGTCGATCCTCATTCATCAACACCTTTTAAAAAAAACGCTAGCTAAAGAAAATAGTGATAGATTCAGACTGAGATGTACATGTACTCTCCAGGTGGTTAGTGAATAGGTACTCCCTAAATCCAGAAGATAGTGAAGCAAAACAGAATATTCATCTATCCCCAACTATCTCCACCCTTCAACCGTAAAAATAGTCTTATTAACTGTTTATTATGAGGCCATTTGGTGCTGACTGCCTTATCCTTGAAGGCCACCTGAATTGGGTAACACTTTCTGACTGTACGATAATAATAATTAATAATAATATTTGTATTTGGAATTGAGCCTTATCACATTATTGGGAAGTCACAAAGTACTTCACAAAATATATTGTAAAGTGAATTGACTTTGTATTTTGTGGGCGAAACAGTACAAAACAGTAAAATAGTCAGATATCCACTTACTTACAATCAAGTAATAATAATAATAATAATCCTTGCATTTGATATAGCGCTTTTCACGTCAGGAGGACGACCCAAAGCGCTTCACAGAATATACTGTAAAGTGAGTTGACTGTATATTTGTAGGCGAACGCAGCAGCCAATTGCGCACAGCAATGTCCCACAAACAGTCATAGATTGAAAATGACCAATTTAATTATTGTTTTTGTTTTTTGGAGGGATTATTATTAGGTGTGTGGACTAAGGAAACTTGCCCAAGGTTTCGCCCTGCCTGGAATTGAACTCAGGTCTCCCGCTTGCAAAGCGAGTGCTCTAACCACTGAGCTACAGGACTCCACAAAATTACATCTAGGATTTTTTTTCAATATGAAAACTTACAGAAGACCTGTTGTTGGATTCTGGCTGATGATATTTAGGCAACCTTAACCATAAGTCAGGTTTACATCTAGCAGGCAAAAAAATCCCCATAGTGCTCTTTAGCTCTCTTAAGTGCCTGTGGTTTATGCTACCAATTTGATGTGGTCTAATGTTTACGACTTATATGGATGTTTTTGGAAGTTATAAAACTCTTTCTCAGAGTTGATCCCAAACAAGCACTTTGTGGTCTGTGAACAAGATGTGCTGATCTCTCACTGTCAACAACAACAACAAAATTACATTTGTATGGCTCCTTTCACGTCGTGAGGATGTCCCAAGGCACTGGACAAACAGTGTTTCAGACCTGAGCTGGGGGTCGGGAAGGGTGGAAGGCAGTGGAGAAGGAGGGTGATCAAAGGCACGGTCGAAGAGGAGGGTCTTGAGATGGGTCTTGAAGGAGGCAAGAGAGGGGGCGAAGCGGAGGGACTGTGGGATGGAGTTTCAAAGAGTGGGGTCAGAGTGGCTGAAGGTCTGCCACTGATGGGGTGGGAGAGGTGGGGGATATGAAGCAGGCCGGAGCCCGCTAGGGCAAAGGTAGCGAGCAGTTTGGTAGAAGATTAGGAGGTCGCAGAGGTAGGGAAGAGAAAGGCCATGGAGGGCTTCAAAGGTAAGGATCAGGATCTTGGACTGTATCCTCTGTGTGATGGGAAGCCAGTGGAGGCGGGCGAAGATTGGGGTGGTGCGGGAGAAGACATGGGCTGCAGAGTTCTGGATGATCTGCAGCCAATGGAGGGAAAGTTGGGGAGGCCGACAAGCAGGAAGTCTGGATGTTATGAATGCTTATACGAGGGTCTTGGCGGCCTGTGATGTGAGACAGGCAACAGGCAGTCAATCTGGCCAGGAAACTCAGCTAAATGAATACCTTCCATTGTAATAGAGCATTTTACTGACTGGTGGTATTTGAGAGGTGAGAGCTTCCAAACAAATCTACATTTATGACAAAGTGGTTCTTCCAGGTCAGTTTTCAAACCCAATCAGTGTCACTTCATATAGTTTCTGATAACTCCGGAAGGACACTAATCATGTTAATGTGATTGCTTACCATAAAAGAACAATTTAACTTACTCTGTTTCATTCTCCTGGCTGGGGGAAGGTACGTAGGGTCTCGTGGAGCTGAGCTGGATCTCTGTGGAATGTTGCGATCAAGTTTAACCCTTTGTGGCAGTCTCAGTTGCCCATTTACTGAGCTGAGCAGGTCTTCAGGTCTCCAAGGCAGTGCTGATGACAGACTAGCCTACCTGGCTCATTAGCAGATAATGGAGGGGAAGACTTTGGGGGATTCTTCACACATGGCTTCTGTTATCCTTGCAAGCCAAAGCCCTAATAGGTATGTTGGAGCTAGCTGGATAAGCAGCAAGAATGTTTTTAGACAGTGCTCTTGATGGAAAACTCTTTAGTTGGCTGAACTCCAGCAGCACTGCAACCCACATTCAGAGGTGGGTGTGCATTCCATTCCAGGTGCAAAAAAAATTCAATTTGTATTTGTCTCAGACATATTTCCATCTCAGACTGGTTTGGATATTCTTAAGCATGGAGATGTGTTTTCCCCATGTGTCAGATAAGCTGCCCTCAAAAACCTTAGGGTGAAGTCATTGTTGTGAATAAGTCTTGAATTCCTATTCTTGTGTTATTTTTGTGTTTTGCAGAAGATTCATCTGTGGAGTGTTTCAATGGAAATGAGGCCTTGGTGCTTAATTCTAACGTTGCAGAGGAGAGTCATTGTGGGGAGATGTATGAGAGCATGGCAGACATTAATGGTAATGGTACAGCGAATGCAGACCACTCTGCTAGCCAGGATGAGCAACCAATAAATCTGAGTGACAGTCCTCTGTCACTCCACGTGACACCAGACTACGGTACCGATAATAGCAGTAATGGAAGAAGGAGCCGCATCAAATACACAGTTACCGAGATTAAGATGGAGCGAGATTCAAGAGAATTGGGAAGCAAGGTAAGAAACTGTAAAATGCCAACATGATATTTTTCAAGAGTGTAAATTAAAAGTGGGCAAGGCTTAAATTAACCGTTTCACTGTGAAAGTGGGGGCAATAATAGCCATACATGTCAATCAAGGAGTGTAACCATGAAGAAAGCCCTATGAGAACAAGAATTACACTCCATAGTCCTGGTGAGGGATAAATGGTGGATGGGAGGTCAGGTTGTGCCGGGGTGAGGTGGGAGTGAGAAATACAACACAGCACCACAGGACAAATCTGGTATTTTTCCAGAGAGAGTTATAAATTTTGATCGTACAGTGCAATATGATGTACGATCAAATAATCAAAAGCAGTCAAACTGCTGTTTCTGCATCTGATGAAAATATGAACAAATATGGGGAAGTTAACTCAGTGAGGAGAGCCTACTCCTCCTGTCCAGATTGAATCAACAAAAGAAAACTATTCAGGAAGATTTCAAAGTAACAAAACAGGTTTATATAGACCTCAAAAATTGTAACTATTATGACCACGATTCTTTGGCCAAAATGCATCCAATATAAAATGGGCTCTGAGTTTTGTAAAACGTATTGGAATCGAGGTGAGTTACAGACAAGGTATCTGTGCTGAATTTTTCAATTTAGGTTTCTCAGCACATCTCTTCGTCAAATATTTACCCCCATCAATATTGCCTGTGTCACTATTCAGCGAGCAGCAGATTTAGCTTTGCAGAATTAACTGCCGTTGGTCACTGGAGAAAGAGTTAAAAATAACTTGGTGTGTAAATTCATTCAAGTGACTTGGACGTGAGAAGGAATAACTAATGACTGTGACATGTTTTTTGTGTCCATGTTAGATCCATGCTAAGCTTCAAAACCATGTGAAAGAGGCATTATTTTTCCTTAAACAGATGTATTTTGTGAGAGTACTATCATAAATTCTGTACAGTAGAAATATAACATAGAAATATTATCCTGATCCCCACATAAAGTACATACAGCCCAGAATTCAGCGTGCAAAAAGCAATTTCATGAATTTAAATGTTTAAAGCTTATAATTTCTTGTTCAGATTTAATGTTATTCTCCGAGATTGATCATCCAGTGAAAATCTACCCATTTGGCAAGCAGGTGAATACTAATCCCCAGTGCAGTCCTACTTGCTGCGAATGCTGGTTAATTGTTAAAGTGGCCACAGTATGATACCAAGTACATTCTAACACCTGTGTTACATGATTGTGCTGCTTTGATAGTGGAATAGGTGACCTCCAAGGTGATTAAAGCCCTCTGACTTTACCTTGTGCTTTAATCAGTTCTCTGTCCCCTTTCCCAGCTGTAGATCACCACAGCTGCGCACAGTTGCCATATTGAGGCTTGCCAATTGTTTACAGCGAACCATAATCCCCAGTAGAGCCTTACATTCTTAGCACACAATTTAAATTTCAAAGTGCTTCTATTCGAGACTGTCTAACTAATGGCTCCAGTTTCTGATCAAGCCATTTTGAGCTTGGAATAGGGAAGCTGGAGCTTATTAAAGCACTCGGCTATCACCTGATTAAAGCACTCCACTATTACCTGGTGCTCTAATTATCTCTCTCCGCTGGGTCCAACATTAAAATCAGCACAATTATATACAGTAGCTATGATTGAAACATGCCATTTGTTCTAAAGTTCCACTCTTTGAATAGGTTTCCTCTGTGAAGAAAATATATTGAATTACTTATCCTGCAGCGCCTTGAATAAACCTTATCCATTGTTGAATTTTTATCAGAAAACCTATAAATGCAATGTCTGTTTCATTGAGTTTAATTTGATCCAATTTGCTCACAAGAAATTAAATGGAATTTTGCACCATCACAGAAGTCTGCAATATACCAAGTGTAAACTAGAGAAAACCATTTGCAAACAATTGTATTATGCGCCATGTCTCAAGTTGATTACGTAGTTTACACATGGATTCCTGTAGGTCAGTGGTTAGTGGACTCGCCTTGTAAGCGAGAGAACTAGGTTTGATTCCCAGCAGGGCAAAACATTAGGCAAGTTTACTTACTCCATATGCCTCTGTTTACCTATCAGTAAGTAGGAACCCGGTTGTTAGTTGATTGGTGGATCGCATTTCCAGGGGTAATAATTCCTTAAAAAAAATTAGTCACTCAATCCATGACTTTTTATGGGACACTGCTGTACGCAATTGGCTGCTGCGTTTTGCCACAAAATATACGGTCAATTCACCTTACAGTGTATTCTGTGAAGCACTTTGAGAAGTCTCGAAGATGTGGTAAGGTGCTACATCAAATTCAAGGATTATTATTATAACACGGATGTATTTAGATATGATTTATGCTTGGTGCATAAAATGAGAATACAAGATTATTTCTTATACTTAGCTATCATAAATGAAAGCTAAAGACTTTTTTGATATATGAACAAATATATTGTGGTCACTGAGTTATTAACAATCAGTGTACAATTAAATCTCTTGGTATATCAAAGAAAAGGGAATCCTTTATGTTACCGATTGTGTTTGATGTTATTTTGTGATGATATTTTGCATCAATGTAAAATGAAAATACAATTTTATTAAAGCAATGAGCCAGTAGAACAAAAGGACATAGGTTTAGAGTTGTAAAGAGCAATTTCAGGACAGATACCACAAGACTGTTCTTTAAGCAGAGGGTTATTAACAACTGGCACAGGTTACCAGCAAAGGTGGTAGAGGCCACTAGGACTCATTGAAAAAGCAGCTTGATGCAGTGATAGGGGCGTATGGAAAGGTGGGTGTTCTGGAGGGATGAGATTGAATGGGCTGAAGGGCCTTCTTCATCTAGACCGATCTTGTGAACCCCTACAGTTTGGGAGGAGGGAGAGAAGCAGAATGATAGAATGTTTACAGTAGAGAAGGAATCTGGCTTATTGTGTAGGTACTGGTCACTGATCTTTCCCCGATACCTCTTTTCTTCCTGTACTGTTCTTATTAATTTGTCTTTTAAATGCTGTTAGGGACTTGGCTTTGACAAATCATTCATAACTTTGAAAACCTTTATTAGATCTTGAACCTTATCCACCTCAGTCAAAACAGTCCCAACTTTTCAAGTCTCTCCACATACCTTTTCATCTCTCTTGTCATCTTGAGATATAAGCTTTCAATGCTGTTATGTTCTTTCTATCATGTGATCATCTATTAGAGCTGTCAGCTTGGCTCAGTTGATCAGAAGGTTGTGGGCTGAAGCCCCACATCGGGACATTGAACTCTTAGTCATTGACACTCCAATGCAATCCTGGGGGAGTGCTGCCTTGTTGGAGGTGCTGTCCGTGGACTGAGTTGTTAAACCAAGGTCCTGCCTGCCTGTTCAGGTGGACGTTAAAGATCTCATGGCAATGCTCAAAAAAAGGAAGAACTTTGTCCTGGCCAAAAATCCCCTATTCACTTCCTGGCTGTTTATGGGACATTACTGTAAGCAAATTTGATGTAACATTCGCCTACAAAATGCTCAGTCATTTCACTTTATAATAAATCCTATCAAGCACTTTGAGTTGACCCCCTGATGTGGGATACCTCAAAGCACTTTATATGATTTATTAAAAACGCTTTATCAAATGCGAGGATTATTATTATTTTAAGCTATGGTGCTCTGCAACTGGGCAAAATATTGCAACTCTGCCCTGTGTACAATATCTTGTATATACTGTATTCATATTGCATCAATGATCTTGTATTCAATAACTGATATATAAAATATTATTTTTTTTAGAGATTGTATTATTTCCATTCCCACCTTTAATTGCATCTGTACTCCTTGGTCCCACTGCTTTCTCCATTCAATTAATAATCTAGCCATTTAAAGTATATCCTACTTCCTTTATCCAAAAAACACAAGTGTAGGTAGGTAAAATAATAATCTAGCCATTTAAAGTATATCTCCTACTTCCTTTATCCAAAAAACACAAGTGTAGGTAGGTAAAAGTCAAGAGATAGTGACCCCAAATGAACATTGGGAGGGAGGGAGGTACAGCTGGAAATGCACCAGATAAAAACACACAACATACTAGGGAATGAGGGAATGATAAGCTTCCCAACTCTCATCCAGCTGGGGCCACTCTATCCCACCGAAAGTTCGATTGTGATGTTTTCATACTGAACCATTAATAATATCAACACCAACTTGCATTTATATAGTGCCACTTATGCAGGTAATGTCCCAGATGTATTAAGCTTAATGTACTTTATATAAAACAGCATGATCATTGTGTGATTTTAAAATTAGTCTCTTTACAAATGAACAATAATGAAGGCCCAGCCCCCTTCCATTGAGTCCCTACACATTACACCTCAGCAGGTGACCTCTTCTCAACCTCTGCTGTTGCAGATCAGTGCTGAGGCTGGTCAGCTCTATAGTGTATTTCTTATTCCACAGATGATTGTTAGGGTGAATTTCAGCCGTACGTCTTGAGTTATTTCTTCAATTCCTGATGTCATTCAGTGGCATCATTTGTATAATAAGGAAGACCAATATAAATTTACAGTAACATTCACAGGCACAGTCAATTAAAAACTTGAAGTCAAATTTGGAAAAGCCAATTATGATCCAAAAGTCAGAAGAACCTTCAAGTCTGTCTCGCATCTTTTCCAAGTGTACCGATAAAGCATATCTGGAGGAAAAGTTAACCTTCTCAAATATTGCAGGTGTGATATGCTGTTTTTAATTAAAGTCACACGATGCAAAACTATTGTTATCAAAGGGCCTGTCACATACCATATGCACATCAGAAAAAAGTGTGATAAAACATATGATTAAAGTAATTAGCATTCATTGTTTCAAAATACTTTGTACTTATTTTTCCATTGGGCCTCGTCCTATTCTGTGGTGTTCATCTACAAAATGTAATTGTATCTCTAAGATAGCAACTGATGCACAATTCTTTTATACGAGAAAAGACTGGATAAGTAAGTGCTCTTCAGTCTTGAAAAGAGATATCTCAGAGTGTTCCCTATTGGGGTACTATATGAAGGTGCTGGTCT